TGTTGCGTTAGCTCCAGGGCGGGGGCCAGTTGCTTGTTCATACAGCTGTTCTTAGGGGGGGGGGGGGTGTTAACAAGGCGGGCTGCTAATAAGGAGCCTCCTCTGCGTAGCTACGCACGCGGTAGGTTTCTAATTCTGCAGCCTGTATTATCTCCTCTGCGTAGCTACGCACGCAGTAGGCGAGTAGTTACACAGCCTATGTTAACAGGAGGCTCTAGAGCGCACAAAGGCTTAGCAGTAAGCCCTTTCTGTGTGGCTACGCACGCAGCAGGTTGCTAATCTTGTCTTTGTGCAATTAGTTAATCTAGGGGCGCGTATAAGGCTTACTTACCCCTCTCTATGTGGCTATGCACATAGTAGATGTAAGCTTCTTTGTACCTTCTCTGCGTAGCTACGCACGCGGTAGGTGTAAGCTTCTTATACAGTAGTAGTTTTATTAATCCTTGCAAATCTGCCTATTAAAAAGACAGGTTTTCTGCAAAGGCTTAAAAAGCCCTCTCTGTGTAGCTACATATATAGTAGGTTTAAGCTTTTGCAGTAAAACAGTCTATTAATAGACTAATTAGTGTTAGTTAACCTAGGTTTAATTAAACAAACATACGCTAAAGGGGCGTACTAAGAGGTAAGTAGGTAAAGATTTTTTTATTATTAACTACTGCCCTCTTTCTTTATACAAAGAAAGAGGGCTTTTAAGTACACATAGCCCCTAACGCACAGGCTAGATAGCCAACGTTTCAGGCAACCTAATTCAGCTGCACTTACGTACAGACATTTATAATAAATAAAAAAAGAGAAAAAAAAAAGAAAAAATAGTAATTACTATTACTAATTATATTTAAAAAGTATAGTATACTTATTTCTAGTTAGCAATAAGTTTATACTTTAAAAGTTTATATATTCTACTACTTATAGTATTACTTTAGTAGTGTAACGGCACAGGCAAGACAATGGGTCCGAATGCGGTGGGAATCCACTCAGAGGCATATGGGAGTGCGTGGGGACTCGGAACCTGGGAATGCCATTGACACCTATAGGCCTTGTACAAAAGGATATCAGAAAACTACTAAGCTAGCTACGGGGGCGAGGTGCGACTAAATACATGGAGGAATAGGGGTACAGCAGGGGGCAAGGCAGAGTCGGGGCCAGGTCGAGTCAGGGTCGAGCCAGGGTCGGAGCCGATACGGGGACCCTTCGGATAGGTACCGGGCGACCCGAGATGGAACGATTTATGAGAATCGTTACAAGTAGTTTCTAGGTAGCTATATTCTTTTCTATATAAGAGGCGCGCCTAAGAAGGTAGGTGCTAGAGAAAAATTAGATAAATTTAATAAAAGGTTAACGTACCTAACAGGTTGGCCGGCCACTTTTGCCAAGCCCCCACTAAACTCTACCTATCTACATAATGCCTTAACAACAACACTAGATTAAATCTTCTAAAGAACGTTAGATACAGCTTGCTCTTTAGGCTTTTAAATAAGACTTAAAACTCTTCTTATAACGTGCTGCAGCTATCTATAATGTCTCTTACACAACACTAAGCAATTAACGCGCTAGACAGCCTTTATAAGTAAAATGCTAGCCTAAATTAAGGAATCTAACTAAGCTTAAAAAAAAAGTAGTTATTAAGTACATACTTAAGCTTATAACACGCAGATTTCCCTTTAGGCTTATAGCTATAGCTAATATAGCTAATTCCTTACCTGCAGAGTGTAATCTAGGCTAGGTTAGCTTAAACTAGACTAGTATGTAGGTTAAGCACTGCCTTAAGTTTATAATAAAGTTTAATTATAAGTATAATTATAAAAGAGCACTTTATAAGGATCTAGAAGTTATCTAGGGCTAGTTTTACATAGTAGCTAACATAAAAGCTAAGTATAGTATCTAAAATAAAGATAAGTATAACTTTAATAAGTTAAGCTTTATAATAGGCTAGATATTAACTAGAGTAGTTATTATAGCTTTAGAGAAATAAAGACAGCTAAAGGTAATATAGTAAGGTAATAAAAAGTAGACAACAGTTATCTAAGCAATTAACATAATAAAGTAGGCTATAAGATTATAAAGCTTTAAGCAGTAAATAAAGCTGCTACATAACATAAATTGCATAAAAAAAAGCAGATTTAGGTAAAAAAGACCTTAATAGTTAAAAATAAGGCTTATTTAACTACTTTAAAAGAGTTTAAAGCGCGTAGTAATAAGAAAAAGCTAAAGACATAAGTGCGCACTAAAAAAGGTAAGCTAAGTTAAAGGTAATACAAGTAGTGCAATTAAACTAAGCATAACTTACATATGTGTAAGTAAGTAGTAAAAGTAGACTTTAAATAATATCTTGTGTTATATTACTTTATACAGGGCTAAAGTGGGCTGTTTTGCGAGAGAATAGAGTGGTTTTAGTAGGGGCTTGGCAAAAGTGGCCGGCCAACCTGTTAGGTACGTTATGTAGAAAGCTATATAAAGGATATAAGAAAATAGTTAGTTGTCGCGTACAGCTATCCGTCTATATATATCCTTCTGCTGTGCTAGCTGGAAGGTTAACCTTTTAGCAAACGCAACATTAGTCTATAGTGGTTTTATAAGTAAACTAAAGTGGTACTGCTAAGGCTTTTTAAGTCTAGCTTATTATATTCTATAGCTTATAATAGAGTTATTTTTATTCTAAATAGTAGTTTATTCTAGTGTACCTATTCTAAGTTTAGAATAGTTGTGACGGTGCTGCTTGTCAAGCTCTGCTGTTAGTCACATGATCTCTCTAAGGGCTAAGCGAGCGCGCTAGCGCCTTAGCGCCGCGCAAGCTTTTCTCTCGCGAAAACCCTTCGCCTTCTTCACTCCCCATCCTAGTTTAGCTGAAATAGAGCCGACCTACTCTACCTCGCTTCCCTAGCTCCATACAGTAGTAGAGACAGTGCTTGTCATCACAATAGTAGTATTATCACTACTATTTAATAGTACTTATACCTTAACTTTATTTACTTAAACAGTAAAAGCTAGTAATAGATATGCTTTAGTTTATATATATATTTTAAAGCTATCTTAGATATTCTTATATTAGGTTAGCTTTTATTTTAACTAGCTTCTAGTTTTTTAATAGTTCTTCTAAAGCTTCTTTATAGGAATTCTAGCTTATAAAAGCCTTATTAAATAATTATTTAACTTTATAAAAGTACTTCTAGTAGCTTTTTACTTAGTATTCTTTTTTTTATTTAGGCTATTACTGTAAGGACGGAGCTTTGTACCTGTCAGATATGCGCACCTACTGTCAAGACAGGAGGAACGTTTGACGAAAGCTGCTACATAGTACGAGCAATAAGCTCGAACAGTATGT